GTTTCACTTTTTAAATGGAATTACTGAAATAAATCTACTTTTTCATGATATTCTAATTTTATGACCAGCACCTGTATGTCTACCTTATTTAACATTCTGATTGATGTAGGGACAAATGATTTTAAGTCTACAAGCAGGGATTCTAAACCATTTGCCGGATGGTAATGGCTCTTATTGTGGGTTGATGTGAACGGGATCAGACAGTACCCTCTGTCTGAGGACCGACTCTTCACAGATGGACTGCAGGGAGGAGTTATCAGTCCTTCCTATCACCTTCATTGCATTTTTTTTTACAATATGACTAAGTTTAGATTTTAGTGGCACAGAGGGATTGCCCTACTAATAACAATACATGGAAATGTTTTGGTTATCAGGGTTCCTATGTAGTTTGGGAAAATAGTTAAAGAATAGTTCAAATTAGACAGGGGTGAGCACAGATAACCAAAACTTTAGCTTTGCTAACTGCTAATCTGCTAACCAAACAAATTAGTTTTGTAAACACTAAACCACTAAATAGGTAAGAAAATTAGCTGAAGCTGACGCTAACTCTCAATCTTGGCTAAACGATCTTAAAAAAACATTTCAGTTAAAACCACAACAGTTGAACCTGCAAGTAAATAAATTACACAAAGTGACGTAAAGAAAATAACTCAACCAACACAACCAACATGTCTGCTGAAAGCAGGGTCCTCACATATTCCAAAACTGTAGGTTTAATGACAATCCAAGTAGGACTCATTGAACCTCAAGCAAATAAAACCAGAATTATGTATAGCATTTGAAAAACAATCAGAAAATCCATCTTACTTTTGCCGTGTTGTCTCTGAGTCATTAATCCACTGTAATAAAATCYTATAAAATGTTTAGGCAAAAATCACCCTTTCTGACCACATTACAAGTATTTGAGTGGATGAAGGGGACTATCACCTGATCTGCATCACACGTGTTTCTCCTTTTAGTTTAAGGCTAACGCAGGTAGACACACAAAATGCTAAACATGCTACACGCACACACAGATGACGTGCGTGGGAGTAGATCGTTTTGTTTTCATTAGTGGATGTAAAGTTAGCAGAACTAAATTTAATGGAATCTAATAGGTCCTGTGTATAGAATATACTAAGAAACAAAAAAGGAGGTGAACAGGAATTAATTATTTTTTAAAAACTTAGTGAGATGAGACAATGCAAGAAAAATGTTATGTATTAGAGGGATTAGTAGAGTCATTTCAGAGAGAGTTACACAAACTGTATTGCACTAATAAGGAGCTCTAACTTCTATTGTTGCTGTTAATACGAAGGGTTTCCATCTGCTGCATGAGAGGATGAAGAGATTTAAGTTTCCCAGGTCTGAATAAGTATGGAGAAATATTAGTGTTTGCAGTAATAGTTGCTCACCCCTGTTCTAATGCYTAATTAACAGAGGTCTAAATGACAGAGTCTGCATGGATCACTGAGACTTACTGGAGTTGTTTTAACCTGGCAGTCCACTAATTTGGAAATGGGTCCATTTTTATCAGTACGATCCCAAGAAACCCATCGAGAAAATCTAAATTATTTACAACTTTTGCTCTGAAACCCACTTTATTATGGTTGTAATTTTCCTTTAAGTTCAAGGGAAATTACCAGTGTAAAAAGGTATTTAAAATGAAAAAGTAGGTCATTGAAAGTGAAAATTTTTAAATAAAAGTTGCTTTTTTTAACAGCCTAAGTCTCCTCTGTGCAAAAGGCAATAATAATCAGGTGGACACTYTGAAAAAGAACCTGTTTTTAATGTCTTGCCTGGTAAAATAAAGGTTGAATAATAATTAATACCTAACTAGACAGTTTATCAAGACATCATTTGTGTAATAAAGACAACACAGATGAAAACTCTTTAATAAAATCTATTGCTTAAGTGTAAGTAGGTTTAAAGCAAATGGATTCTTGATGCTTTCGGCCATAGATTGGTATTGATATTAACTTTTGAAACTGTACTCGATCCTCTGCCACTAAAATAACTTCTTGCAACATRAAGCCTGCATGTGAAGTTTCAGACAACACATCATAGTTACACACGTGAGGTTTCATTATTAGTTACTGGAGCTGCAGCGTGTAAAACAAGACGGAGCAGTCACACCATTTCTGAGTGATTTTTATTCTTCCTGGATTTAAACAGCAGGGTTTTATGTTGTTAGCTGTGAAAGGATTAAGCAGCTTAGTTTTTTAACCTATGATGTCATTTAAACAAGCTCTAAAAATCAAATTCAAAAACCAATGAAGTGGTCTCCATGTTCTGGGTTCATGGAGGCAACAGGTCAGACCTCCCTCTCCCCAGCAGCGCTCTCCACCTCCTCTTGAGTGATCCTAAGGCATTCCCAGGCCAGAGAGGATGTGTAATCCCTGKAGTGAGGCCTTGATCTGCCCCGGATCCTCTTCCCTGTGGAAAATGCCCACAAATCTCCAAAGGGAGGCMTCCAGGAGGCATCCCAATCAGATGCCTGAACCATCTCAACTGACTCCTTTTGATGCAGTGGAGCAGTGGCTCTARTCAGCTCCCCCTGAATTAGAGGCTGAGATTTTTTTCTGGAATCCCACGTTGTTGCATGATTCCTGCATGATTCCTGCAGGATGGGAGTCAATTTCACTATTACTCACATGATTAGGACGGTACATGGAAAAAAAAGTTAACAGGTATAATTACTATAAGCAACCCTTATTCTACCCCGTTTTGTAGTTTCCTTTCAACAATCCTACACTCACAGCATTGGAAGGAGCAGACATGAGCAGAGAAACCAGTCCGGTAAAAATAGATTTGCAACACATAGAAGTAACGACCTATACTAAGCTCATAGAACTGGCAGGAAAGAAATGTGGAGAATATCAAATCAGATTCATTGTATTGCTTTAGGGTTGGGCAACATCGTATCGCGTGCAATTAATTGTCTATAAAACCATCAATAATTAATATTCACCAATTTGCAGTTATTGTAAGTACAAGGAGAGCCAGAAAATGCAGACCAAGGCCACAACATCTTCCACATCCAAATGTAATTACCATCTATTAACTGTCAGATTAATCGTGATACATTTTTATGTCACTATTGCCCAACCCTATAGACTAAATAAAGAAAAAATGGGAGCATTACAGGAGTAGGAGCCTTTTTATTAAGAGTAGAATGGGAAAAGATTTTTTTAAAACTCTGGCCAGGATTTGGGATGAGACAAGATTATCCACTCCTGTGCCACTCCCTACCCTGGAGGATGGATCTCCTGACTCTATCTCTAAGGCTGAACCCAACCAGCCTTTGAAGGAAGCTGATTTCAACCACTTGTGTTCAGGATCTCGTTCTTTTTGGTCATGATCCAGACCTCCATGTCTCCATGGGTTGAACGTGGACGAACCAGTAATCAAGCGCTTCATCTTTGGACTCAACTCTTTATTCACTCTGACTAGTAGATTTAACGACCTCAGCCATCTCCTGTTCTACCATCACTAATGAATAACTCTTCCACCAGAGATGAGAAACCAATGAAGTGTGACCACTGTAAAATACAAGTATAATCACTTGGGTAGTTTTATGCTGTGCTTTAAGTCTTAGAAAGACAAATAAATCAGGAAATGGAGACTAAACCATAGAGGCACAAAACAAATTTTGGACAGTTATCTTTTTCCTTTAGAGCTCAGATTTAGAAGAGTTTACCAACAAAAATAAAACTAACATATTTTACTGCAGGCCTGCAATAATAAATGTTAGAATTATTTTGCTCTGTAGTAATTTTATTTAAGCTTATTTGAATAAAAAATGTCAGAGTGAAAGACTAATTTGTAAATCTTATTCTGGTTTGAAAACAAAAGAGGGGACGAACAAATCAAAAACTTTTAAATGGCCAACAATAAAACTTCATGCACCCAGAGAATTAATCAAATCAAAGGATCAAAAGAACACATTTAGAGATGAGTATTGTCTAGTTTCAGCTCCAGACGCTGGTGTCTGTATTCCAGGTAAGGTTTGTTTCACTTGAGAGTTAAAGGTTGTTTGTATTTTGGAGCTTGGAGCAGAGCTGCTCCCCCGAGTCTCTTTATGTTGCACCCCAAGATAAACAAATACATTTATCTTTGTGAGAAGAAGTCAAAGAACTCTGAACCTTGAAGTTATTGATTGCACTCATGAAAGTCCCATCAGAAGGGTGTTTGAGCTGAATTCAAGGCCAGTTTTGCTTCAGAACAAGAGAGCACATATCTGTTGGTGGCTGACKATTGTTTCTCTTTAAGAAGTCTTTCTCTGTGTTGATTATCTGGTTATATTTTCCTGTTTGCTCTCTGCCCTGCAGAGGACATCGAGGTGCGTTTCTTCCAGGACTCCTGGGAGGGGAAGGGCACGTTCTCCCAGGCGGACGTCCACAGGCAGGTGGCCATCGTTTTCCGTACGCCACCGTACCGCAACACTAACCTCAGCGAACCCATTAAGGTCAAGATGCAGCTCCGGAGGCCCTCTGACCGAGAAGTCAGTGAACCRATGGACTTCCAGTACCTCCCCGCTGACCCAGGTACAGTAAGAGGCTGTGGTCCCACACTTTCTTAACTTTTAAGAACTTTTGAACCTTCTCAAAACTTGTGAAGTAAATGTTACTTTATTWAATCTGTTTTTAATGACTTCCTGGCAGATGAGTATAGGCTGAGTGACAAGAGAAAGCGCACAGGAGACATGTTCCAGAACCTGAAACTGGGTCCGATGCTATCAAGTGGTAAGTGGACTTGATGTTTACCCTGTTGTTGTTGTTTGTTTGTTTGTTTGTTTGTTTCCATAACACTCAGTTTAACTGAATACGACTGGTTACATTGTTGAATCTGTGCTCTAATAAAAGTGTGTCTGGTGAAATTTCAGTGTCCATTTCACAACGACCCATGAATGTTGGACGCAGAATGGCCACTCCCAAGACTCAGCCGATGACTGCACAATCAGGTGAGTCTGGTTGTTTGTGCTCCAGGAGAGTAGACATTTAAACCAAACTGACTTTGAGTGTTGTTTGGATTGTTTAGACTGTAAAAATACCTAATCTTAAGGATGTAAAACCTGAGACCATGATCGTTAAAAACTTTTACCTCCATTATTTGACACATCCTGTACAACTCTAGTGACAAAAGATGGGAAGATTAAAACTGATACAGTACTACTATGCACTCCTTTAAATTAATAATTTGTTGAAGCATCTTCTGATTTCAGCCTGTAGTCTTGTTAGAAAACACACCTGCCATTGTTTAAAGGGTTTCTGAACAACCTGAGATAAAGTTCAGCAGGATTTTCCTGACATTTACTCAATGCATCCCAGTCAAACCAAAGGTTCACAGAGCACTCAAAAGATGTCATCGTTGATAAAGATCAGGAGAAAGTTACAGAACACAGTTACAGTCATTCAGAATTGTAAAACATACAGTACGATGTTATTAAGAGCTGCACATTCCTCTAAATTTGATTAAAAGATTAGACAAACCAGTCGGGGAGGTTTCCASAAGACCTACAGCAACAGGGAAGGAAGTGCAGGAATGTCTGACAAGTACTAGTTGTGTTCTACGTGTGTTCTCAGTCTGTCTTGGCCAAAAGAATCCAAACTTTGATAAACATAAAAAATACAATGAAATGTGAGAAAGTGTGACGTTCAGATGACCAAATTAAATTATCCCCACAGCAAAACATAGAGGTAGCAGCATCATGTTGAGGGTTTGTTTTTCTTCATCTAGAACTGAGGATTTAGTAAAAAGGAATGGAATAAAGATCAGTTCCTGATGTCAGTTTATGTTGGTCTAAAACCTTCAGGTYTTTGTTAGAAAGTTAAAATAAAAAAATAATGGTTTTCAACATTGGGGGAAAAATACAATAATAAACACTAAAGCAGGGGTATCAAACTTGTTTTCATTATTTTCAGATGTAATTGGCTTTCATGGATCAAGTTTAACTTTGAGAACAAAACGTCCCATTCCTCGTCTCATTCTAAGGCTGAGCACCTCTAACATACAATAACGTAGCTCTATGTGGTATTTCCTGCATAGAAACAATGTTTTAACGCCCTTTTATAAGCACTTAGAAGTGTACAGCTGACTAAATATGATAATAAATACTGAAATAATTATAAATGTATTATTAATTATCCATTGGCACACATGTGCCTTAAACCTTAAAGCATAGATTTAAAACAACAAAAAAAATTGCTTCACTTGAAGAAAACAAACCTTTTTGAATACCATAGCTCAGGGGTGTCCAATCCTGGTCCTCGAGGGCCGCTATCCTGCATGTTTTCTTTTTCTTTTTTGTTTGTTTCTTTGCTTCAYCGCWCCTGATTCAGTCACTGAATTACCTCTTCAAGTTCTGCAGAAGCCTGTTCAAAACAGGGAGAGGACCAGGATCAGACACCCCAGGCTCCGCCAAAGTCTGGTCCTAAATTTGTTAGAAAATCTGTTGTGATCTGAGGAGAGCTGTGTACAAGAGATACCCCCCCCACACACACACACACACACAGATTCTGCAATCAGTTTATTGCATCTGTTTATTTAATTATTTTCCCCCACAGCATAATTTATTTTTCTTATGCATGTTTTAATTAAAGCTGGTGGTCTCTTTTTCTTACAGAAAACTGGCATTTTAATAAGATGTCTATAGTTTTTACTTCTACTGCATTTTTAAATTTAGAAAACATCAGGTAGAGCTTTTGTTATTTTATAGACAGTAAATGAAGTTGTTGGCAGGAAATAGTATTTTATATTTAAATTATATCTGGTATTTGCTTACATTTTTGTATTTCTCTTTTAAATATGATTGATTCTGAGTTATGTCCAGTAACTGTTMAAGGCCCTGTCACACTACGACGTTTGAGACAACGAATGAAAATTTTGTCCGACTTTGAGGATGTCTAACCTGAAGATCATCATCATCATCATCACTTTATTTATATGGCACATTTAAAAACAGTGTTGACCAAAGTGCTTCACAGACACAATACAATAAAACTAATAACAAGCTGAAAACAAAAAGACACAAATTACAAATTCCTGAGATAGCTCAAAGTGAACTTGAATTAAAAGCCAGTGTAAAAAATGAGTTTTTAAGCTGGAGATGGAATAAAAGAAATCAACTGGAAGACTTTTTTGGACGTATGCATACTGAAATTAAAACAATTAGATCAAACACATAACGAGTTTAATCGTAAAAAATGTTCAGAAGTTGTCTAAATTGTTAGTGTGACAGGGCCCTGACGTTGTTCTGTTTTTCTGAAGAGACTGGTCAAACTTGAATGATTTGTTATGTGTTTCAGTCCCTGAGGTTCCCCCAGKTGCCAGCAGCGCCCCCTTCTCATTTCCTCAGCCAGGACATCTCTTCTCAGTTCAGCCTAAGGTGGAGGCCCCCTCCTCCATGGCCACAGCAACGGCAACCCAAACCTGGAAGATCATGGAGGGTCTAAAGCTGAGCCCCCAGCCCAAAGCCAACCCAGTGCCCACCTTTACCATGAGCTCAGCACCGACCCCGTCCTCCTCCACCACCACCACAACCGCCGCAGCCCACCAGGACTACTCCACCGTCAACCTGTCCGACCTCCACGAGTTCTTCCCCAACATCGCCCAGGGGGCTGCGTCCAGCCAGGCGGTGGCCCCGCAGCCCAGCAGCTCCTTCACCCTCCAGGAGTCTCAGTTCCGTGTCGATGCAACACTCGTGGATGAGGACATCCCAGAGTTCCCCAGCTTCTCTGACGCCCAGGTACCCTGCACCCTGGACAGCCTGAACATGGAAGACATAGAGGACCTCCTGAACCCGTGCCACATGAGCGAGGGCGGAAACGCTACTTCGGGCTTACAGTCGTGCCAGCAAGCGTCCGTCCCTAAGTCCGCCGCCGTGGCTCAGCCTGGTGCCGCGGCCCAAAGTGCATCTGAGCCACCCAGTAATCCCGGAATCGCCTACATGAATTACCCCAACAGCATCGCTAACCTGCTCCGCAGCGAAGACATGCTGGTCCTGGGCTCAGGCCTCACCATCAGCAACAACAACCACCACCAGTCTGTGGTGCTCGACGACTTCGATGAGCTGATGTCCGCCGACGAGGACCGCCTCATGTCCATTTTTAACGGTGGAGGTCAAGCTGGGTTTGTGTCAGGACATCCAACCTAAAGATTTTATTTTATTCAGGACTAAAACTGTTTTTAATACCGATAAAGGAGGGTGGACACAAAGAGCTGGAGGAGACTGTGGATAAACATTAATGCAAAACCACAGAACTGAACGTAATTATCCTATTTCATTTATTAAACAGTTAAACATCAGCCACTAACTGTTAAAGACTTCCCCTCATAATGTTTGGTTGGTAGTCTATTCAGCTTGTTTTTATCATAGACATATATTATGATAGACCAAGTGTCCCCACCTTCTCTCACTGTTGGGAATTGAAGCCATGATCCCAGTTTACAGGAGCTGCCATGATGTATGACGAACCAGAGGCTGTGTCTCAGACCAGGGGCTGCAGCCGGCACATCTGTCGGTCGCTCACGTCACTGCGCCGCACCATAGGCTGTCCCAAATCATAGGCTGTCCCAAATCACAGGCTGTCCCAAATCACAGGCTGTCCCAAGTCATAGGCTGTCCAAAATCACAGGCTGTCCCAAATCACAGGCTGTCCCAAGTCATAGGCTGTCCCAAATCACAGGCTGTCCCAAGTCATAGGCTGTCCCAAGTCACAGGCTGTCCAAAATCACAGGCTGTCCCAAATCATAGGTCGTCCCAAATCATAGGTCGTCCCAAATCACAGGCTGTCCCAAATCATAGGTCGTCCCAAATCACAGGCTGTCCCAAATCATAGGTCGTCCCAAATCACAGGCTGTCCCAAATCATAGGTCGTCCCAAATCACAGGCTGTCCCAAATCATAGGTCGTCCCAAATCACAGACTGTCCCAAGTCACAGGCTGTCTCAAATCACAGGCTGTCCCAAATCATAGGTCGTCCCAAATCACAGGCTGTCCCAAATCATAGGTCGTCCCAAATCGCAGGCTGTCCCAAATCATAGGTCGTCCCAAATCACAGGCTGTCCCAAGTCATAGGTCGTCCCAAATCGCAGCTGTCCCAAATCGTACTCATTCGGCCGACAGAACCCTGAAAACATAGCCTGCATCTGAGTATCCTACGTGGCCAATGGTATCCCAGAATTCATTGTGCCGTCACAAACTGAATAAGTTTTTATTTCACGGCAGAGTTTGGAAAAAATTCATATTTAAATGGATGTTTATTAAGTAAGCTAATGAAATTTACGCAATGAGATGTTAAAAATAAAATGCAGTTACAAGTACTGATACTGGAACTWAACCCAAATTATTGTTGTTTTAATAAAACTAAATTTTGTGAAGTTATACCATGAAAAGACAACTGAAAGAGCAACGTCTCATTAGCCGTTTATGCAGCCAACACGAGTGGACTATGGCCCATGTGGYCGGCAGCCCCTATATTGAGACACAGCTGGAGTCTGTGCACTAGTGGGGCTTTAAGCCTCGCCTACTCCTTCACACAATGTTACTGAACCTTTCTTTCAGGAATGAAAAAACTAATTTCAAGTTAGAAAAATAAATGAGTGAACACGAGGGTGGGGGAATTTGAGGTGCATAAATATCCTGTTTGTAACTTAAAACTTGTACGAGAACCAGTCTATAGGGAAGGTTGGTTCTGTTCAGCTTAGATATCAATGCACAGTCTTTGGTTTTTATACTGACATTTGAACAGTTCTGGTAGAGGTCTTCACAGAAGTGTTTAAAGTTGAGCTTCTCTTTTCCTTTAAAGAAAGGGGCTGGTACTTTTCAGACTGTAATCCTAATCAGAGGTGAGGCTGCGGAATCCATCGTTGCTGTCAACAAGTGTTTGATTGGATTTGAAGCTCACTGATGGTTCAGTTGTCTGAATGCAAATGAAGGTCTTTGTGTAAATAACTTTCAAACAAGCAACTTTGTCAGGTTACGGTTTCATAACCAATCATTTTTCATATTTACTTTATAATGGCTGAAGTTAAAGTTTTAACACCTGTGTCATCTTGCTTTATTTTGTAGCAAAAGGTTCTTTATTAAGATGTATTCTGACCCCTTTTTTGTTCAAAGTATGGTGGATATTTGTGCCATTTCTTGTTGTAAATTACTGACTAATCTTGTTCAAATCTAAAACACTGTCTTGGACAATAAAAACCACTTCATTGAAAGACAGGTCTCCAAAAGTAGTTTTATTTGGTAATGCTGTGATGTTAGTTTAATAACAAACAAAAATTGAAGCTTAACGAAAAATATATATTTTTAAATAAATCCAAATGAGAAGTTACGTGATGTGTGATTTCTTTACATCATGCAGAAACAAAATTTGTTGTCCTCTATAATATTACTATAACCTCTTAAACAATGTGACGGCAAGTCGGGTCAARTTAAATAGGATGGCATCAAAAGAACAATCAAAAATGGAAGACCACAAGCTAGAAATTCAGTCTCAGATTCTGACTACAGCACAGCCTTCATAAAAAGACGCGACTCTCCGGTCCTGGCTTAAGTCACTTCAAGATTGGTGACTTTGTTGACGATGTGRGAGCGCCGGGGAACACACTCCAGGTCGAACTTGCTCTCGTAAATGGTGGGGCAGAGCTTCCAGCGATTGTTCCTGTAGATCCCCAGGTATGTGTAAACGTCTGGCTTGTAGGAGAGGGGGCATTTCACCCCCGTGGCTCGAATGACCGAGTCCAGCCGTATGACCTCGCTCTCGTCGGCGAAGTTCTGGTTGTAGGCACAGATGACGTGCCTACRGTCTGCCTTAGGATCGAAGGGGCTGACTTTAACGGAGGAGATCTTGCCCTCCATGGTGGCTCTGGCCACGCACTCCCACGCGTGGTCCAGCTTGAAGCCAGAATCCAGGTACATGAGCCACTTGCCCGAGAGCACGCCGTGGTTCAGGGCCAGCTCCTTCACCGTCTGGAAGGTGACGGATCGYCCACTGGACAAAAGTTTCTCCCAGCTCTCCTGGAGACCCGTAACGTCCCCGCTGCCTGGGAAGTGGCTGGGGCCCAACACTGCGATCCAGCCCACAGGGCTGATGCCACCCTCCTCGTTGCCAAACCTGGACACCTGAGAGGGTCTGTTGCTCTCCAGCCAGCCGTCAAACTCCGACCTGGGAGTCCTTCTGGCGTCGAAAACGATCCAGGGATCCATGTCTGCAGCCATGGCCTCAGCCGCGTAGATTTCTGCAGGAAACTTGTCATCTACAGGACATTCTTTTTCCTCCATTGTGCTGTCCGTTGGAAACTAATGAACAAATTATGTTGAAAAAACAAACAGGTCTAAGTTACAAACACGTTTCGCAGAGCAGACATTTTTTAAACGACCTGGAAAATTCCTAAGCAGAACAACTTGCTTGCTATTATAACAAAACTACAGCGTAAACCGCAGCTTATTTAACAAAACAAGACCAAATTAGTACCGTAATAGCACTTGAGGTTTCTGTTTTGATAAGAGTTAGCCGACAGCTAGCAACTATCAGTACAAACTCGACATGTTATTAAAACTCATAAGGGGAAAAACTGGGTTTGGTGTTACAACAAACACAGTTTGCTTGTTGTCGAAAAACAAAGCTGGTAAAAGTTATAATAACCCCGGGTTAAAAATAAATCTACCTGCAGATGTGCAACGTTATCGTCCAGTGTTGCCCTTCCGCTCAACTCTGTCCTGGTGTAACCTAAAAACTCTTCCCCCGCCTCAAACGGAAAAAAATAACCTCCATTTTACAGCCACTTGATCTTTACCGCGTGTATTTCTGTACCTTTATTTTTAAATGTTCTATTCAAATAAAATGAATTATTTATTTCCCAAAAACAAAAGTGTCACATTGTCAAATTTGTGCCGCTTACCGGTGAATGTTACATATTTGTTTGAGCCTGACGGTGCCGTGGAGCGCACGGAACCGAAGCTGCCTGCAGAGCAACACGGGAACKACTGACGTGCTAACAAGTTAGCCGGATAGCTAACGCTAGCTGGTGTATATGCGGTGGAAGTGACTTACATATGATAAATTTATAATTTTGAATATTTTTTTGTATTTTATTTTAGTTAGGCCACACTTGTTGTTTAATTATGCCCAGCAAAAAGAAGAAATACAACGCCAGATTTCCTCCGGTAAGTTAAAACTTAGTAGAAGCTAACTCATTAGCGAATCGTTTTAATGTACTGTAGCTAGCTTTAGGAAGATTCAGTGTCTTTTGTTTGTTTTGAAAGTAAAAAAAATCACCAGTACAACTGCGCCACTGATGGGATGTCAGCTTCATTTAATCTGCTAACAAAGTTCATTTGCATATTGGCGATACGCTTCAGTTATCCGWCCTGAGTTAGCATGTGTTCATTTTAGCATGCACAGCCCAGGTTAACTGCAGTCTGTAAATCACCCGGTCTACCTCTGTAACTGCAGACAAGCTGCCTGTAGATGTTTGTAAAGTGCACACAGAATATGTCATCGGTAGGATGTTCTGTATCAAATCTGTACGACWCAACAGCAACGTGCTTTCTGGATGTTGTTATGCTAACAGTGTGGATTTTAATCCAGGTGTAGTTTCAAAAGTTGAGTCGCTTCATCCCACGTAAATTAACACCTGTTCTTTCTGCAGGCAAGAATTAAGAAGATCATGCAGACAGATGAAGAAATAGGAAAAGTCGCTGCAGCAGTTCCTGTTATTATTTGTATCCTTTTTGTCAAATATATGTRCAGTGCACGTCAAGCACCTGTCCAGTATCTGTCTACTGTTTGTCCGGTATGTATCCAGGATTTGTCCACTGTTCATCTGGTATCTGTTCAGTATTTGCCTATTGTTTATATCCATTATGTATCCAGGATTTGTCCAGTACTTGAATTTGTTTCAAACAACGTCCACTAGATGTCAGACACATGTTTCTTTGATTGTAAACCAACTTTTATGTCTGTTTAAATACAGAGTACTTGTGGAACAAATAGGAAACATAAAAAGTGCTGAACCAGTGAGTCTTTAACTGCACAGCCAGGTTCCTGTGRGATAGATCTGTGTCTATAGGGCTTTGGTCTGAATAATAAATACATACATACATGAATGTAGTTGGTACATGTATGTAAAAACATGTGAGAAGCACCAAATTAATAAGCAATGTTTACTTTTCACCACTGTTTTAATTTAAATGATTTAATCTAAGTTTCCTCGACTTTATTTTTGGACAGTCGTGCATAAAATCAAGCAAGAAACGGCAACGTTATGAGTCGTTTTTGTTAACGAAGCTTAATAATGTCAGCTGTGAGCGCCAGTTATTGTAAATCAGGTCCAATCTAGTAAAATATATCAATYTCTGTAATTAAGCAGCTGGTATTTAATGAAGCTAACAGCTGATGTCTTTTTTTTTAAATTATTAAATCCAAAACATTTGACTGTCTGCTCATAATAAATGTCTTCCAGTCAAGATTTTCTGTTGCTGAAAATCTCCTTCTGTTAATGAGACAGATGGAATTTGATTAAATAAAACTCAACAGAAACATAATAATAATATCTGATTTACAGTAGAAGTCTGATTAAAGATCTTAAATTGTTTTCGTGTTCATCTCAAAACATGAAAATTTTCTGTAAGAACATTACAGAAAAGAGTTATTGTTTTTATTTCTGTAAGATCTCTGTTTAAAATTGATTGCAGCTTTGTCCAAAGTAATATTTGACAAAAGAATAAGGTTTACAAACAGTAAKAGTCTGGCTGGTTAGATCTGTTAAATTATGTCTTTTTTACTGGATTTACAGCTCATCAGCTCTCGACGAGTGGTCATTAATTAAATGTACTAAAAGTAGAAGAGAAGAGTATAACTGTCTCTAGCATATTTTTAGCTTCATATTCACAGTTAGCATCACAAACAGAAAACGGTCAGAAAACTGAGGCGATGCCACAATTTCCAAATCCAACTTGTTCCATGCAAGGAAGACGTTTAAAGCTCAAACTGAATAAATATAATTATTTTATTATTCCTGTCCTTTGAAGTCTTCTGGTTCCCACCATTCATCTGGCACCCACCTGCTTCCATAAAACAAAAACCTTTACAGATAAGCCATTGTAAAATAAAATAATAATAAAAAATACATAAATAAAATCTTAGTAAGTCCTCTTCAATTTCTAATTGTAGACTTCTTATAAATTGTACATACAGCAGGGTTAGGCAAAATCATCAACCATTAATATTTGCCACCTTGTAATTATTGCAGTTCGTTCCATGTTATGTTTTAATGTGACACACTTTCACTATCAGGCGTGCAGGTGAGCCCACCGGTGGGAGGCGGCGTGAAGCAGCTAACACTATGAACTTGTTTAATCCCAGGAAACTGTGACATGAACCGGAGTACAAGGAAAGACAGCAAATGGGGATTGAGAAAATGKTAAATACAAGTGCAGCTGTCACCTATTAATCATCATATTAATTATTATTGGCTAAATTACACAAATAATCATGAATTAGTTTGTTGAAGAAAGATGAAAAAGAATAATGTGTACTTATACAAATTTTTTGTTCGAGGAGGATTGTTATTGTTGACGTTTTTGTTTTGTTGTTGTTACTTAAAGACTATTAGTATTGTTTATTTTATCTTCTTTTCTTAAAAAGGGGGCAGATGTAAGATTTTTTCCTTATTTCTGCTGCCTTTCATTT